AACAGTGTCCTAGTCCTACGCGCCAGAGAATGATGCAAGTTGCAATTCCCTGACAATCGAGCCGCACGACAAGCATCTGTGGCTTCCAGTGTCTCCTGCGAGATGGAATTCTGTTTTGCTCTTGGGTGTTCACCATCCGATTCATGGGCTGCATCAAGCGTTTCACGCTTCAAGGTGTCTGTCAGGCTCTCAAGTGCTGTGAAACGACCAGAGATAGCCTCGGCAAACCCCCGGGCACACTCATCCTCCCTCAATCTGTCCAAGTGAAACACCCTAGGTGTTCACTTGGGTGACGGGGCGTTCTAAAGTGGACCCGGAGAGTAGCCACAACTAATCTATGATTGGTTCTACAGAACTCGGCGCTTCAATACACCCTGCAGTTCTGAAGGATCCTTCAACAAGTGCTAACAAGTATGTGGTCTATCTCCTTGGCCACACTACCTGTATCACTGTACCATATCCAACGATGTGGGTCAGGGCGCTGATACCAGGAGCCAGAAATCCTCAATTTCATCGGACATAGCAAAATCACGGAAAACTCCTGAGCCATGAGGACCGACAGACATCTCGTAGCCAGCTCGATTGCAGCCAGATACCGCATTGAAGTTGCCCAAAACAATACAAATATCTCGCCGAGGACAACTGTCTGTCACAGATGCAAGTTTGGCATAAAACATCTCTTTCACCTCAAGTTTATATACAGCCATAGAAGCGTACACAGCAACAAGAGACATGAAGCCAAATGAAAGCTTCAGTCTCAATACCATAATACGTTCATCGACTGGAGTGACCTCTACTACCAAGGATTGAAGTCTGCTGGAGATGGCTATGGCTACTCCCTGGAGATGGTGGCCATTGCTACAGCACGACCAGTAATAGGTGTAGCCACCCACACTAATTGGGGGGATTGGGGGCAAGGAGGACTGCCCATCCGTTGGGGCACGCCGCTTAGTGTGGGCCGCATGGGCGCCACGTGGCCACTGCAAGAATCCATGTGGGCGCCACGCGGGCATATAATACCGATATAATACACTATAAGGTCTCCTCACCTCCGAGAGAGCAGCCACCTCAACTCTCAGCTGCTTCAATTCCCTTGACAGTAGTGGTAACTGATCATCCTGTCACAAGGAACGGACATTCCACGCCCCCACCCGGACAGCCCGCCTGAGATCTAACCTTGGGCAGTCACTCCAGGTGGGTGCCACCTCTGCCACCCCTACCGACGCCGCCCCAAACAGACAAGGTTGGCTGGCTGCAGGTCCCATTATCCGCCTGCGGGGCTCCCGGGGGCTTTCCCCCCACAAGCTTCACGCCAGGCTGGCGGCCGCCGGGTCCCTGATGGGGTGACGGGTAACCCCCGCCCCCCACCCGAGTCTCAGCGGTCGCCAACCCAGAGGGACCCACAGCCCACCTTACTTGCTGGGTGGGGGAGGAGGGGGGAGGGGGGAGGGGGGAGGGAGAGGGAGAGAGAGGGAGAGAGAGAGGGAGAGAGAGAGGGAGAGAGAGGGAGAGAGAGGGAGAGAGAGGGAGAGAGAGAGAGAGAGAGAGAGAGAGAGAGAGAGAGAGAGAGAGAGAGAGAGAGAGAGAGAGAGAGTGAGTTGTGGAATATCATTGTTTATATAAACTGTTAATTGTCTCTGTAGAAAAGCTAGAGAATGAACATAAATAAAACTGTTTATTAAACATTGCATATCATTAGTACTACAAAAAGAAACTACTTGCCATAGCAAGGTATCCAACAATGGCATAAAAAAAAACTTAATTTGCCCCTACCTGTGCTAACAATCTCTCAGCTGATGCTTTGGAGTTCACTTTGATAAAAAGAAGTGAAGGCAGGATCAAGGCGATTAACATGCCCATAGTAGACCCTAGTAGGCCTAACACTAATTCTGGAAAAAAGTCTAAAGTGAATAACTTTCTTCCTTTTAATTTCTAAGTAAATGGAGCAAAAATCTTTGAATGTAAATAAGGAAATTTTAATAAAATAAGTCAGGGGAACAAAAATACTCAACACTCATAAATTTGGATAAATAAAACAACTTAAATTAAGGTTGGAGATATAGATATCAAATGTAATTGGAAAAAAGTGCATTTCAGTGCTTAAGATTATTAAACACAAGAGAGATAAAGGTGATATACTACAAACTTCTACCAAAAAATGGGAGAAATTCTAATGAAGGCATTTTCAACAGATAAAAGTATGCATGTCCAAAGACCAATTGCCCAGAAAATCTGTATCAACTAAATGTCAGTGGGTTTATGTACTGTCCTCTTTAGATTTTAGTGAGTTTTGTTACATAAAGATGGCTCCAGGTGTGCTCAGCAGCAAGGAGTCTATCAGTTGGCCTTAGTGTATGAATCACTGATTTCCACATTCCTGGAATTGGCAAGAAAATGTGTTTTTCTTTCCAATACTATTAATACTAACATTGTTATCCTTTTTAGTAATATTATGATTATGAAATTGTTATTAAAATATTATTAACATCAAAGACAATAA